TGTTGCTCCCATTCTTACCCAAATGCCCCAGATGATCTTTTAACTGAACAGTGCCTAAAGGAAAGTCAAAAATCACCCAAACTTGCATGGGCTTTCCTACACTTGCCTCCTTCCTGACAACTTCATGTCCAGCCTCTGCTCCATCCCCCTATGGCACTGCCACCTTGAGCATCCAGCCATTTCCTGAAAAAACATGCTGCCTGCACATGTTTCTCTTTCATTTCCACCCAAGAAGCCGGTCAACTGTGGTCCAGCTTTCATGGAGAGTCCCGAGTCTCCACAGAAGCCACCATTATCTCTCACTTTCCACCGAGCCGTCTTCTCTCTGGCCCATCTCCACCTCTGTCTGCAGCTATGTTCATTCAGCCCATCAACTCTTCCTGCTCTCACTCTCTCTTTACTCTCTGTCTTCTTCCCAAGTTTTCAGCCCTTCCCTCTCCCCACCCGCTCATTCCACAACACAAAAATTGAGATGAATTTTTTTTTTTTTTGAGACCGAGTCTTGCTCTGTTGCCAGGCTGGAGTGCAGAGGCACCATCTTGGCTCACTGCAACCTCTGCCTGCCCCGGGATTCAAGCGATTCTCCTGCCTCAGCCTCCTGAGTAGCTGGGACTAAAGGCACATGCCACCATACCCAGCTAATTTTTGTATTTTTAGTAGAGACAGGATCTCACCATGTTGGCCAGGAGACTCTCAATCTGTTGACCTTGTGATCTAGCCGCCTTGTCCACCCAAAGTGCTGGGATTACAGGCATGAGCCGCCACACTCGGCCAAATTGAGAAGATTTAAAAAAATTCACTCAAGATGAAAGATTAAGTCATGTTACAGGAGACATCTGATTCAATAAATTCCTAATCACTGACCTCCGTGAGCCCAACACTGCCTGTTATGGTCTCTGCTCAGCCGCTCTCTACTCTCCACAGTGATGACTTCAGACTTTTCCCACACCAACCCTTGATGTGCCCTCCTTTTCCCTCACTCTCCTTAGTTGAACTTATCTACTATTGAAAGAAAGGAAGGAAGGAGGGAGAAGTGAAAGGAAGGAGGAATTGAAGGAAGGAAAGGAAGGAAAAAAGGAAAGCGAGGGAGGGACACAAGGAGACAAGGGAGGAAGAAAGGGAGGGAGGGAAAAAGAGGCAGGCATTGGAGGGGGGCCACATCTGACACAGTTACCCCATACACCGACATATGGCATTATCTACATCTGAAGCCATCCAACCCACTGAAGCTTCCCGCAATAACAGACAAGACCCCCCTCCTCCCGTCAAAGGCCAGTGGTTCTGATGTCCTCCTGCTTCTTAATGGCCACTGCTTCAGCCTGTAACTTTCCCTTAGAAGCTGGTGACAGACCACCAGCCCCAAGCCTCTGAAGCTTCAGACTTGCTACAAGCCACATCCACCAAGTGCCTGTGGGTCCCCAAAGCCTGTGAGACTCAACCCATGCAGCCGGAGCTCAGGGCTTCTGCTGCAACACCCCGTCTCAGTGCATGGTATTTCAGGCCCACAAGCCAAACACCTGGGTGTCCCCTCCTAGACACTATCAGATATGCCCTTGTTCCTCCCCCTCTCCTACCTCCACCCTGGCTGAGCTGCCTCTTGGCTGTGCCATGGGAGGGATCTGTGTCCATTCTTTACCCATGTCATCTGGCTATCCTGCTCCAGTCAGAGTGCTGTTTTCTCACTGAAGATGTGACCATGGCACACACCCCACCCTCACTTGAAGCCTATGACCTGTCCCCTTCCCTCTCCTGCCTCCTTCAGGCCTTAAACTCCTTGCTCTGCATGGATCTCCTTCTGGCCACAGGGCCTTTGCACATGCAATGCCTCTCTCCTGCCTTCAGCTACCACCCAACCTCCTTCAGGTGCAGCTGGAGCACATCTTCCTCAGGCAGGCATCACCTGACCTCCTTGAACAGGTAAGGTCTCTGCAGCACATGGTCTCAGCAGCTGTGCCTTCCCAGCCAAACTCACATCTGATGTCAGATAACTGACTAGTGCCAGACTTTTTCATTATCCTGAAAGCTCCAAAGGGCAGAGCCCCAGAGCCTAGAACAGTGAACCAAATAATGCATAAAGGCATAAAAAAGATAAGGTATGAAAAAGATAAATGTGAGTAACTGAGGAAGTTCAAAACAGGGAAATTTTGAATCTTAAAATAGCAAGGCTCTAGGCAAGAAGAACATAGGGAGGCCATGTGTCAGAGGGGCACCCAACTTTGGCCCTGAGCTTCTAAGTGACCAAAACAAGGAGAACACATGACTGGCTGCAGTGTCCACCATGAAAAGGGAGTTAAAACCCATCGGCCATCAGAAGAAGGGGTCTCTCTGACAGTGAGCCAAGAACCCATGCTCATGATGCTGAGGGGAAAGGGGAAGGGCCTGGTGCCAGGGGAGATGCTAGAAATCAAATCGTAGGATCCTGAGATGTAGCTGTCAGGATTTTGAAACTGACAGAAGCCTTTTCTCAGATAAAAATCTTACACAGATGCCCAATATATGAAACAGAATCAGACGCTGGTGATAATGCTATTTGAAGATGGGCAGAGGAGACACAGGGCTCCTGTCCCTGCCCCACCCCATCATCTCCAGCAGCCTGGGAGGCTTAAGGTGTGAAACTACTGATCCCTACCCTCAGGGAGACACAGGGGGGTCTGCATAAGAGCTGATAACAGCCTCCCCACCCCCCATCCCATATGCTTTGATAAAGGAGGGAGCCTGGGCCTGGTGGTACTGGGAAGGACACCCTGGCCACACACTGCCCCCTCTCCTGTTGCCTGTGGCTTTTCCAAGGCTGGTATTACACAGTTTTGAAAACGCTGGATGGAGAATACATCATTCTCATTTCTCAATAAAGGAGTGGTGGGCTCAGGCACTCATACCAACATTCAAAAGGTCATGCAGCTGGTTTAAAAAGTGAGGCACCATCCTCCAGACGTGCCCTCTTCGGCAACTGTGCTGTAGGCAGTGTCTCCAGTTCCGGCCTAGGAGTCCCTTAGGGGGTGTTGCTCCTGACCCATCTCTGGGTAGGGAGACTGAGTGGAGGGAAGTACTTCAGACCCAATTTTCCTTGATGCTCCTTATCTCCCTTAATCTGTGATTCCTTTTGATAAAGATCTGAGCTCTGGGCAGGCTGAACTCAGCCATTGCTACCATGGTTGCTCCCTCCCCAGGACAGCCACTGGGCCTGGTCCTGTGCTTGAGGCCTGTCCCCATGATGCTGGGCTGCTCCCCGCTTTTTTTTCTCATGGCCTCCCATGCTTTCTTCCTCCTCCCTGGTAGGACTCCTCAGTGGTACAAAAAGGGAGGAGTGAGATTCCCATGGGCAGGACACAGCCCAGGCCCCAGATCAGGAGGTCCCTGTAGAACCCAAACCCTCTTTCTGGTCATTGTCAGCAATGTGAGAGAACGCAGGTCCTGTGGCTGCCTGGGAAGACCATGGAAGACACGGGCAGGTTGGCTGCCCATAAAGCCACCACTGCCCTGCCTGTCTCCCGACCCAGGCTTTTCCGGGGCTGGCCCACCCCCCAACCTGAGCCACACGGGCACCTCTACCTTCCTGAACAAGTAGCCCAAGGCTAAGAGCCATGCCTGGAGCCATGGCAGTGATCTGCTGGTGGCTCACGGCAGGTGACCTGGACCAGCAATGTCTGGACTACTGGCCCCACATTCCCACTCCACAGGCTCTGAATCCAAGATGAGGAGAAACCGTCTGGGGCCCTTTTCCTGACAAGGAGACCTCCATATAGAACCTAGATATTCTTGCAGGGTGCTCATTTGACACGATTCAAAACCCAGAATCACAGTGGAGTGTCTCAACTGTTTACTATCAGATTTTGGAAAATGCCTGGGGAGAGGAGATAAAACTTTCCGGGGAGATGGGCCCTAAATATCTATGTTGGGCAGTGGGGAGTGGGGCAGTAAAGTCATTGGAATCAGAAACCATGCTCATTAATGCTACTCTGGGCCATGAAGAAGAGAAGGAGCCATCAGCTTGCCAAACCCACGCACCCAGTTTTATGGAACTTTTATTGAGTTTATTTGTGGGATGCATGACAGGAGGTCTTTCCATCATTAGTAAGAAGAAAAGGTCATTTTCACAGTCACTTTGGCACACGCTAACGTCTCATAAAAAAAAAAAAAAAAAACAGAAAAGCAACGACAATGGAACCTATAGAATACGTCATTAAATACATACAAAACACGAATAAAATATCCCTGATAAACCAAAGTGCATATGCCCAGGACAGTACTGCACCTTTCCCAGTCGCGCGCGTGCTCGCATGGCCTCGGCAAAGTTGGAAGTTAACAGTCGTGAGATTAGTACGCAGTTGCACACTGGTTATTTACAGAACAGTGATCAGAGCCGCAGGGGTAGGGGCCAGCCGCCCGGCAGGGATGCAGTGTGAACAGAGGCGGTGTCTGGTGTGGAGGGGCAGGGCGGAGTGCTACATGGCTCGCGGCTCAGGGCCCAGGGGGTCGCCCCCTGGGTGTAAGGCCGCGCTGTGGAGCACCCTCTGGAGCTCCATGCAACAGTCAGCGCCGACTGGCCAGGTGGGCATCAGGGCAGACTCCAGTCCGCAGAGACGGACCGCGCGCACCGCTCAGCCCAAGGCGCAAAGCCATCTGCACTTGGAAACCTTAACCTTGGCAAAAGGTGGATGAACGGACCAGCTCCCCTATACCTTCCCTGCCTCCTACCTGTACCACGTTCCCCCCTGAAGCTGGAGTTAGCAGCCAATCCTGTTACCTTTCAACTTTAAGGCATTTTCTACATAGTTTTTCTAAGCAAAAAAGCAATAAAAATTGAGGTAATTCTGTAGTTGTTCACACTGGTAGGCGAGGCACGCCCGCACCAGTCACTCTCTCTCAGCCCTAAGGAGGGGGTACTGTGCACGAGATGAGAAAAGGCCATTGGGGCTAAAGGGCGGACAATGGAGGTGGGGAGTGTCCTCACGCCCCGCCCCGGAAGGACGCGTCCCTCTGCCGCCTCCGTGACCGACCCCCGCAGGACAGGGCCGGGCGGGGCTGTGAGTTGCGGAAGGCCGGGTGGAAGCAGGCCATAGTTTCACGAGTCAGAAGGACACGCTCAGCAAAGGGTCAGCAGCAGCAGCGACAGCGGTGGCAGCCGGGAAGCCCCTGGCAGCGCTGGAAACTCGAGGTGGGGTCCCCGCACGGCGACGCAAGACCGCGCCCCCGAGACCCCCAAGACAACGCCTCAAGGGTGGGCGGGGCTGGGGGCGGGTTCGGCCCAGAGGGTTGCCCTTTGGCCACCGGCCCCTCCTGCAACCACGACAGATCTTTGCCCCTTTACAAGCCATCACCGACCAGGTTCCGGCCCCAGCAGAGGCCCGAGCCCTCGCCACGCCTCGGCGAGGCTGGCCCCGACAGCAGGCCGCGCGGCCCGGAGCAGACACCGAGCTCACAGACCCGGGAGAAAACGGTCACCCCAGAGCGCGCCCGGAGAGTCAGGGGAGCTTTCCATAGACAGAGAGGAGGGGGGCCCAAGGCAAGCTCCACAGGGCGCAGGGCATGCACTGGAGCGCAGAGACAGAGTTATAAACGGGTCGGTTACTTGACGAGATCTTCTGGATGGGCGAGTCAGGGTCGGGGCGGGACAGCCACTGAACCACGTAGCTCTTCTTGGAGGGATCGGAGGTGTTTCCTAGAGGGAGGAGAGAGGGGCTGGGGTTGCAGGGCACCGGGCTGGGGCCCCTACCCCAGACAGAGAGGCTCTGGGTCTTCTGGGGTCCTGGGGAAGCATCATTGAAGGCCCTCCCCCTAGACAAACTGTCCTCTGCTGCCAAGTCGATGCCCACCTCCTGCCCCTCCGACAGCATCCCGGGTCTCATCTATCCCGTCTCTCACTGCCCTGGCATGCGGGCCCTGTCACCTCCTTTTCTGTGCAGGCTCCTCTGCCCCTGTGCCCTTCCCTGCTCCCCGGGTTCCATCCACTGTCTGGATCTCTGAGCTCCCAGAACACCTGGACAGAGCAGTGTGTTGGGAATGAGAGATCCTGGATCCACCCTCCCCATCTAGGGGCAGGTGCCTAGAGCCCCCTGAGCTCTCTACTCTGTAGAAGGAAACTGGCAGGCAAACTCTAGTCTTGAGGTGGGGCACTGGGAAAGCTTTGACCCAGCCTAGGAGGCTGTGTGGAGACCTTGGAGGTGACACCTGCACAGCATTTGGCCAGGCAACTGTGTGCAGCATGTTCTCCTTGAAGGGCACAGAGCACACCCTCTACTCGCATGGGTATCCCCTACCCACACAGGCACCTTCCTATTCATGCAGGCACCCCCTACACCTTAGGCACCAGGCACCCCCTAGCTGGCAGAGTCCTCTTGTCACTGTGAGTCTGAAGTGCCCTGAAAGCAGGGAGGGGCGAGTCAGCTGCACACAGCTCCCTCCATGTCCTGCCAGGCAAAGGTCCTGGCCCTGGCCTGCAGTGCTCTGCTTCTCCACGCTCACAGATGTTGAGTGCTGCTACTCTCAGGGAAGGGCCAGATTTGCCTGAACCAAGTCTCCGACTCCTGTCGCCCTGGGCTGCTGCATTTTGGGAGCAGGGGCAGGGGCAGGGGCTGCAGAGGGCTTACGGGGACAGGGGCCCAGCCTGCAGATCCTCGCCGTCTCAGGCCGCTCCTCCTGGCAGATGCCGAAGCTGTCGTCCGCGGTGCGGCAGAGCACTGGCCGCTCCTGGGTGCCGTTGCCACAGGTTACTGAGCACTGCAGGGGGAAAGTCGCCAGGCAGGGTTTGCCTCTCAGCAGGGCCCATACTGGCAGAGCTGGAGGAGCCCACAGTCCCCAGGCATGTGACCCATGCGCTCGGGAGGTGTGGGGTAGTGGGAAGAGTGGGGTTAGAGGCTGCCTTGCTCCGCCCTTGGAGGCTGCCTCAATCTCCTGGGGCTCTAAAGAAGGGACCCACATGCCTGTCTCTCTGAGCTGTTGTGAGACAGTGCCCATATACAGACCGGCATAGTCTTGGCGTTGCTGGGCTCTTAATGACAGCCTCCCTTCTCTGGCTGGAAGAGGTCCAAGGCCCAGGAAACCTGCTGTGCACTGGGCAGGCTTTGAGGTGGGGCCCCTGGGAAAGGTCTGATCCAGCCTAGGAGGCTCCAGTAGGCTCCCCACAATCCTGGACACAAGGCTGTACCACTAGTGCCCTCACTAGCTCTTCCAGCCCTGAGTACCCTCACTGCTCCACCACACTGACCAAGGAGGTGCCAGAAGGAGCAGTCACGCCCAGCCCTGTCCAAGGAAAACTCTCCAGTCCTCACCATATGCTCAGGAAAGGGCTGACTCAGCAGACCTGGATTGTTCAAACCCTGCACATTCCCAAGAAAGGTCTGTTTTCTTTTTTCTTTTGTTGTTTTTGAGACAGGATCTCACTCTGTGGCCCAGGCTGGAGTACAGTGGCACGATATCAGCTCACTGCAACCTCTACCTCCCAGGCTCAAGCAATCCTCCCACCTTAGCCTCCTGAGGATCAGGGAGTACAGGCACACACCACCATACCTGGCTAATTTTTTTTTTTTAAAGACAGGATCTCGCCATGTTGCCCAGGCTGGTCTCTAACTCCTGGGCTCAAGCTATCTGCCCACCTTAGCCTCTCAAAGTGCTGGGATTACAGGCATGAACCACTGGGTCCAGCCAACATGTTTTCAAGGCTTGTGCCTTGTAAAGCTTGGCCCTTGTGCAGCTCCTGGGAACTAAGCTCATGGAAGGTTCCACCTATTAAGGGTGCCTTTGCATGCTTGAGGCCTTGAGTGAGGCCTTGAGTCACGCTGTATCAGTTGGTTCGGGTAGCTCATACCAACAATAATGGATGGGGAACACTGCTTTTCCTCTAAAGCCTGAGGTCACATCTATGTATGTGGCTGACCCCAGTGAAAACCCCGGACGGCCAGGCTCTGGTGGGCTTCCCTGGTTGGCAGCATTTCATGTGCATTGCCACACATGGGTACAGGGAGAATTCAGTGCATCTCTGTGACCCCACTGGAAGGGACAATGGGAGCTGGTGCCTAGATTCCTCCCGACCTTCTCGCCTGTGACTTTTCCCTTTTTCCTGATTCTACTCTGTGTTCTTTCACTGTTAAGACCCTGCAACTGAGTCCCACTTCTGAGTCTGTGAGTCCTCCTGGTGGATTACTGAGCCTGAGGATGGTCTTGGGGAACCCCTGACACACCAGGTCTGTGAGTGGGCTGTCAGAGCTCATGGCAGCCCTGGCCTGGCCTCGGCTGGCTCTCAGGCCCTGCCCCAGGACCACCTAGAACCTGCCCTTCAGTCCATCCTCATTATTCCTCCCAGCACAAGCCTAAGCACTCCCTGCTTATCCCCCTCCTAGAAGTTTGGCTGGCCTCCTAGACACCCCTCCCACCTCTGCAGGAGATCCCAGACCTCCCCTCTGATCCTGGAGCCCTGAACATCCCACTGGGCCTTGGAGCCCAGGATACCCTCAGTTTCCTGGGATTCCAGACCCCATGTCACACAGAAGCCTCTGCCTATGCAGACACACATTCCATTGGTTTCTTAGCCTAGCACTGACCATGTGGCACCTACTGGTGCCCTGAAACCCACGAGACGTGGCTCAGGACAGGAGCTACATCCAGGCCCACATGCCAAAGGGGAATGCTCTGGCCACCTCAGTCCCACCCAAACTCAGTTTGGGAGCTGAGGACATGGGGTCACGAGATTGCTTACCTGGGACCAGGGCCCAGCTCGCCACCGGCCAGGGCAGAGCTCGCGGTTGCAGGCCCGGCGGCTCTCAGGCCGGGCGTCATTGCAGTGCTTGGTGTGCACGGAGCGGGTGATGTTGTCGTGTAGGGGCTGAACACAGCGCACGGAGCGCACCTGCATGCCTGTCCGCCCACAGCTCTGGCTGCACGGCTCCCATTCACCTGTGACCCACCTGCCAGGGCAGAGCGGTGCATGGTCAGGCCTCTGCGGCTCCTGGAGAACCTGCCTCGCTGAGCTCCAGCGCCGCTCCCTGCAGCCCAGGTGGACGGCGAGAACAGAGGGCAGCCTGCTCCCCTCCTCAGTTCATTTTCGCTTATTCTCACTAAAGTGCTGGCCATCCAGGCTTGCATAGTGGGGGGACTGAGGCTTGGCTGCTCCAGGTCCTATTGATGATGAGTCCCATGCATGTCACCACTGGGAGACCCTGGCAGAGTGGGTGGCTGTGGAGGGCCCCAGCCTGAAGCAGTTTCCCAGCCTCCTTAGGGTCCAGCTACCTGGTCTCACCTTCTGCTAATGTCACAACTCTTCTGCGCAGAGCTTAAGAGCAGTGTGGATTCCCTCAGCACCTGGTCCTATGTGGACAAGCACGGGGCCTGCCCATTTACCAACTGTCTTCCCCACTGAGGTCCCTGGGCCCCGAAATGCAGCTGCCCGCCCCCCCACCCCCACCCCAGGGCCTGAGCATCAAAGCCACTGCTTAAGCAACATCTACCACAGGGCCAGGAGGCAAGCCCCGGGCCCGCTGAGCCTCTGTTTCCCCATCTGGGCATCACTGTTTGTCGTCATCTTTAAGATGCACATAACTGTTCAGTTTGGCAGTTCTGAAGCTGGGATACCTTCTGCCCTGCAGCTTTTTAGATTCCATGAAATGTGGTGAGAAAGACCTCGTCAAATGCCTTGAATGATGCCAGGCTCAGGCCCCACACCTCCATGCACGGGAGCTCCTGGTGGCCCCTGGCCTCCCCCCTCTAGTGGGAGCCCGAGCTGGGGGCACTCACACTGGCTGGGAGCACTCCTGCGGGTTGCACGCTCTGCGGATGGCTTTGGGCTTTGAAAGGGCGGTGCAGAAGCCGCGGTGCACCATCTTGTGGTCCAGCCTCCGGCGGCAGCCATACTTGGTGAACTGGGACCCTGAAGACAGAGAGCTTGAAGGGGCTCAGTGGGGTGGCACGCCCCGCCCAAGGGTGCAGGGAGGGGTGGGCTTCTCCAGCAGTGCTGGCCTCATTCTCCTGCTCACCCATGTGATGACAATAAGGGTGGGCAGGACCCCAAGCCTGCAGCTGGCTGTGGGGAGGCCTTGGTGTGCCTCAGGCAGAGGAGTGAGAGGACAGGAGAGAGGTCACCTTCTCTCCTCGGCTGCTTCTCCCTCACTGGGCTCCTGGGTCAGAGTGGAGGCCCCATTTCCTCTCTACTGCTAGGACACCGGTTCCACCTTGACCTAACATGCCCAGTGGGCCTGGTGCAAACCAGGAGCCGGGCAAGCATGGGGCCTGCAGCCCGCATGCTTCCTCCCACAGTCCTGGGGCAGCCCTTCCCAAATGGGGCCATGTTCTCCAGCAGGGGACATCTGGCCATGTCTAGGACACTTTTGTTGTCACCATTGGGGGAGGGGGTGCATCGGCGTGCAGAGGCCAGGGATGCTGCTTGGCACCTGGCAGTGCAGAGGACAGCCCACACGGTGGAGAGTGACAGAGCACAAACTCTCAGTGATGCCAGGCTGCGAAACCCTGGCTTGCTGGGTGAGACCAAAGAAAGCAAGGAGACAAAGCCTGACCTCCTCTGGGTGCCTGGAGACACCCCAGAAAGCAGAGGCTGGGGAGGCTGACATGGTGGGAAGCTGGTGGAGGGGCTCAGGTGAGGAGAAGCCTGAGCAGAGGCCCTAAGGGTGAGCACAGCGTGTCTAGGAAAGCCCACAAGGCCAGTGTGGCCAGGATCTGGCGGCAAGGGACAGAGTTGAAATATACCGGGAAAGGCCAACAAGTTGCCCCGACCCCGGAGGCCATGAGGATTTTGTTTTTTATCCTAAGAGCAGGGGAAGCTGCTGAAGACTATGACACCAGGAAGAGATGCCGTTTGATGTGTCTCCTCAAACGCTCTGGGGTGAGAGTAGACACACAAGGGCCAGTCCAGAGGAAGGTGCGAAGACCAGGGGATGGCCGCGAAGATGGGAATAGTAGACAGGCCCAGGAGATTTGCAGGAATCACCAGGGGTGGGTGTGCTGATAAAATCCAGGATGGGTTTGGGGCTGGGGGTGCGCAGGTCCCTGGAAGAGGACCCTTCCACCTGCCTGGGCCAGGGAGTTACCCCTTCTCTTGGTTAGCCCCTTGTCCTCTAGGTGTGGGCCCGACATGGCATTCAGGGAGGTCTGTCCTGGCCACTTGCCTCGTATCGCCCAGCCTCCAGGAGCAGTGAGTATGCAGGACAGGTCAGCACCTCCTGGCCACCTCTGTGTCCTACGTCCATCAACTGCAGACTGTCTGGTATCCAGGGTGGGTGAGACCCCTTTGTTCCCAGCCCTGGTCCAGGAACATCTGGGAGGCTTTTCCCAGTGAACAGAGGGAGGGGCCCCTGGGGTGTCATCTGTACTGCTGGAGTCTTGCCTGTGCCATCCTACCAATGCCAGGCATTACCCTTCTGAGCTGCTACACATCAACCTCCTGCCAGGCCAGCTTGTCACCCCCACACTGAAGCAGACCCACAAAGACATGGTCTGTGCCCCACACATGCTCTTTGGCCACCTTTGACCCAACGCCCCAGCACCCACCCTTCCTGCCCACCCACTGGCTCCTCCAGTGCTGCTAAGCCCTTGTCCACCCAGGCAAAGGTCCCTACTATGCCTCCTCAGCCCTTGCTCACGCTGGGCCCCACGCCAGGATACTCCCACCTTCTCGTGGTCACCCTCATGTCACCCCGGTCCCCAACTCCAAAGCCCCCTCACCTCCACCACAGGGTTTGGAGCACGGAGACCACTTCTTCAGGGCCCACTCGTAGACCACAGAGTCATCTTCCAGGACGTTGTTGTCGTCGACGTTGAGCGAGTCCTCGTGGATCATGTATTTGTACGTCAGTGAGATCCGTGTGTCTCCCGCCGGGATGACCTGTCACCAGCCCAAGATGCCGAGATGTCCTGGCCTGCCCTGCCCTCCATGCTTCCTCCCCAGCCAGCTCAGGAAAGGCAGCTGAGGCAGACTCCAGAGGAGTCTCATCATTCATGGCAGTTACATTCCACGAAGTCACCTCGAGCACCAAATTCATGAATACGCAACCATTACCCCAGGGGGCACAGGGTTAGGTTCCTGTGAGCCTCTGTCTCAACATTTTTGTTACCTGATCAATATATAACCTCGTTTTATGTGTGAGTCTGTTTTTTGTTTTTGTTTTTCTTTTTGAGATGGAGTTGCACTCTTGTCACCCAGGCTGGAGTGCAGTGGTGTGATCTCTGCTCACTGCAACTTCGGCCTCCTGGGTTCAAGTGATTCTGCCACCTCAGCCTCCCGAGTAGCTGGGACTACAGGCACCCAAAACCACGCCCAGCTAATTTTTGTATGTTTAGTATAGACGGGGGTTTCACCATGTTGGCCAGGTTGGCCTCAAACTCTTGACCTCAGGCAGTACACCTGGCTCGGCCTCCCAAAGTGCAGGGATTACAGGCGTGAGCCCCTGCGCTCAGCCTATGTGTGAGTCTGTTTAAAGACATTTTATTTAACATTTACTGTGATTGATTAACATTGAACTCACAGTCAATAGCACTGCAGCCCATGTTGAATGAAGCTTATCTAACACATGTATTTTCTTCTTAAGACACCACTGTTTCCTAGGCTTAGGATCACTGGACAGCCCTTCAGCAATAGGCTCGGGGCCATTTTAAACAGCAAAATTGCCCCCAAAGCGGCACAAAATGGGAAATATGTGACACTCAACAGACTGCAGAAAGGACCTTTGTTTGTGGGATGAGAGCAGAAACAAGCAGGCGGTGTGTCGAGCTGCTCCCGCCTCTGCTGGGAATGTGTGTGTCAGGCAACTCACACTTTTCACTGCTCTGTGGGGGTCACAAGTCAATTTTACTGAGCAGGTGAATTTACAAACACAGAAACCGTGAATACCGAGGGCCGACTGCTTACCCACTGACACAGGCAGGTCACCAAAGGCACTTCCAGGGGGCAAGAAGTCACTGCAGGCAAGGTGGGCAGGGTGGCATGGGGTACATGGGGCACGCCTGGCCCATTGCTGCACCTGCGCACAGGTGCACCCACATGTGGAGGGCTATGGGCTGGCTAATTAATCCCAAGGCCAGCATGCCCACCTTAGGGGAGGGGCTCTAGGGCAGGGGAGCCTTATTTGTGATGTGTACATTTTTTGACAAATAAAATACATCCCTATGCAGTTAAAATTAAATTTTAAAAAGTGATCTGGCTTCCTTGAAACCAAGTAAAAAAAAGTGATTTGAAAATCCAGCCCCCTTGGTACTTTCCTATAACAGGAGCAGCCTGTGGCCCAGACCCAGAAGATCTGGGGTCCAGTCGTGCTTAGAGACACATTCCAGTGCAACCTGGGTCTGGGTGTCTAGCTTCCTGGGTCCTGACTGTCACTTCCCAGTGTTACCAGGTTTCAGTGTAACAGCATGCTAAAACGAGCATGCTGAGGGCAGATGTGAACGTCCTTCAGATGGCTAAACCGAAACCCTGAAAGGGGAGAGAGTGCTCAAGGTCACCCAGGGGTCATGTGGGGCCCAGAGCCCTGACTCATGGGTGCATGGTCGTTCCTGGCTCTGCCCAAGTCGGAGCCTGTTGGTGCCAAGGGCAGGGTGAGACCTGAAGGGTCAGGAGGCTCAGTGTCCCAGGCACCTCCATCCTTCCCCCGGGGCTACCTGCACCCCTGCCTGGGCCCAGCCCTGCCTGAACTCACCAGAACAGTGATGGTGCCATGGAGGGGGCCCATGGTCTGCAGTGTCTCCCGGCCATCCTCGTCCCTGTACTCCCATTCCACGCCCATGGCAATGAAGGTTTTGGAACTGGCATCCACATCATTCTCTTCATTTAAGATGAACTTGCCTGTCTCCAGGTTCTTGACGGCTGAGAATGGCAAGATCAAGCACTGTGTCGTGGTCACCCAAAGGCAGGACCAGGCCCTCTGGGAGGAGGCCTGGCGATGTCTCCGGGTTTGGGCAGGCGGGGAGTGGTGGGCAGCTGAATCCCTTGTCTCTCTGGCTGCCCCCTTCTGGTTTCCTCTGTGCCACTGACAGCCCAAATGGCTCTGGGAGCCCCGCCTGCCCGTCACTGCTCCCTTGGGCCCAGATTACCCTCAACTCATACCCTCTGCACCCACCAGCCCTGAGGGTGCTGGCTCCCCTTGGAAGCCACTCAGCAGCTGTCAAGGCCAGCTACCCATAGCCTATTGGGGGCACTCAGTGGACACTTAGAGTCCACCTGGGGCAGTATGGCTGGGAGGGGTCTCCACCTGGTGCAGGGCATCTGCTGGATGGGCAAGCATGGGACCCTGCTGGGGTGGGGGCTTCCTGCCATGGGGTGAGCAGATGTTGGGCTGAAACAGCAAGGCCCACACCCCATCAGTAACCGTGGCCCAGCTGAGGCCCCAGCAGCTCCCCACAGACCCAGAAGAGGCCTGGCCTGATTGGGTGACACTCAGGTCATCTAGGAGCAGAGGACTTGTCTGGCCAGGAAGCCCCATGCTTTCTGCAGTGTGGGGGGGGTAGCTGCTGTGGGGGAGCTGGGAGATGTTAGTGGGCCGCAGACAGGGTATCAGGGAAAGAATCATTCCCTGCAAGCCCCCTGTCATTCTGTCCACTCACAAAGGAAGCCTCTGCTTGGTGCCACAGGTCCCTGACTTCTCTCTGACCTTTGCTCCCTTTCCACAGAGACCAGCCTCAGCCCAAGAGGCGGTGGCAGGAAGCAATGTTGGGACAGAAACGTCTTTTTGTTCAGGAACTGACTTTTCTGTTCACCTTCTGCTTAAGGCAGGTGGTATGGATTTTGTATTTAGGGTAGCAGTCTAAAATTTCCTCTTAAGTAAGAAAAAAAAAGAGTATCGAGAGAGTGAGACCCTGTCTCTAAATAAAAACAAAATAAAACAAAACAAAAGGGAGATAAAATAAAAGGGCACAGCGTGTTTGTCAGGCGGCGTGGGTGCTGGTCCACAGCAGCGTGGGAGCCCTGACTCTGTCCAGCCTCCTGGGGATGGGGACGAATGTGGGGATCAGATTGGGGGAGGGACTTGTGCAGGGGCCCCTGCATTCCGGGGCATCACTTGTGACCTTGGCCCACGAGTCCCCAGAAGGTAGAGCCCCAGGAACTTTCAAGGGGAGGGTAGACGGGTCCTGAGAGCCTCCCGGGCGACCTGGGAGGGCGCGGTCTCCCAGGCAGGGCTGCCTCATGGAAAGGGGCACTCAGAGGTGTGAGAACATCCACATTTTCGGGAGATGCCAGAATCCCTGTTTTAGCTGGAATCTCTTGAATTTAAAATTAAGTCAATTGAAAATATGTAAGTGCACTGTGAGCACCCACTGGCCAGCTGGCCTCACTGTGGGGATGGCAGGGCTGCCCAGGACCTTGCGTGCCTTCCAGAGGGCAGGGGGACTTCCCACCCTGACCGTGAGAACAGGGACAGGGAGTTAGCCTGTAGGCTGAGGGACATATCTTTTGGATACACATCCTTCCATAGCTGCTGCCAAGCAGAGCCCTCTGATCCCAAACTTTGGCCTCTCCATAAGGAAAGGGCTCAGGTGGGCTGAGCAGAGAGACAGGTCGGGTCCCACTGACCCGAGAGGAGTCTGGCTCTGAGACTCACCCAGATGGTGGCTGGTGGCGTCTACCTCCTGAATGAGCAGGTGCCTGGCTCCCGCAGGGATCTCAAACATCTTGATGTAACCTTTGTTTGATGTGGAAAGACACAGCAAACTGAGAAGGGAAGGGGCCGCTCGAATTCGCACAATGCAAGGAGGGGCCTCGCCTTTGAAGGCAGTTCCCTTGGGGGCTCTCCCAGGACCCTGGTATTTCTCAAGCTTTGAGCACCCACCTGAGAGGGGTCACCAGGAAAGCTGCTGCCTCTGGGCTAGTCTCTAAAGCCCAACCTGGGCACCCCCATATACTGGCATTCTCCGCTCTGACCCCTGTGACCTGGGCTCCCACTCTCCTCTTCCCCACCCATCCTGGCACCCGGCTGGGGCTGTCGCCAACTTAGGATTCTCCCTCCCCCTCATTGTCACAGACCTCTCCCCCTCCCCAGAATAGTCATGAGCCTGGACAGCCCCAGGATGAGTCAGGCCCACAGCTGCCTGGGCATGAGCTGCTGCAGGCACCCAGGCTCCAGGGCAGAGGGCAGGGACTCACTCACCGTGCTTCTTGGGTGACCGTGTGAACGTGCCCTTGACCACTTTGCAGTGGCTGTTGTCCCCTCCGCACACGCCACACTTGTCTTCCTGCTTGCTAGAGCCAATCACACCGTCACAGCCCACCTTCTGTTGGGGGGTGGGGCAGGGGGAAGGCAGTAAGCACTTGAGACGTCTGGATAGTTTTTAAATCTTTTATTGTAGAGACAGGGTCTTACTATGTTGCCCCCAGACTCAAACTCCTGGCCTCAATCGATCGTCCTGCCTTGGCCTCCCAAAACATTGGGATTACAGGTGTGAAGTACCTTGTCTAGCCTCATCTTTTATTATCTCCACAATCAGAATGCGTCTAGTCATCAGCCACCTATAGGGTGTCTCAACCTGGCAGTTTCCACCTGGGCCCCTGTGCATGTGGCTCATTTTGGGCAGGTGAGCCACAGAGGCCCAGGCAGGCACCATCCCTTGCTTGGTGAACATTTATGTTTGGCAAGCAGAAGATGCCATTTATTTATTTATTTCTTGAGACACCATCTGGCTATGTTGCCCAGGCTGGAGTACAGTGGTGCGATCTCAGCTCACTGAAACGTCTGCCTCCCGGGTTCAAGCGATTCTTCTGCCTCAGCCTCCTGAGTAGCTGGAATTACAGGTGACTGCCACCACACCCAGCTATTTTTTTTTTTTTTGTATTTTTAGTAGAAATGGGGTTTTACCACGTTGGTCAGGCTGGTCTCGAACTCCTGACCTCAGGTGATCCGCCCGCCTCAGTCTCCCAAAGTACTGGGATTACAGGCCTGAGCTACCGCGCTTGGCCTGGAGACACTGTTTAATGTCCAGCATTCTGAACCTGAACTAAGATGGGAACGATGCTACCACTTTAAGTGGAGAGACCAAGGAGGCCCAGGTCTTTCTATTGGCTCTGAATCTCGCTTTATAACAGGGCCCATGAAAGTTTAAGCCAGGGATGGCCACAGGTCCCCGAGTGGCTCTGCGCAACCGCCCGCCACCAT